CTTAAGCTCGCTCATAGCAACAACATTCATAAGCGTCCACTTACACATATGTATACATATGCAGAAGAGGGTATGCATCTGTGTGCGTGCTTGACCCTGCTGCCAGGTAATTTCCACAAAATAAATTATTTGATTTGATTGAGCTAGAAATGAGTTCGCGAAATGCCCAAAGCATTCAACGAAATTACTTGCAACTCCTTTTTCATGTGCAATTCTAAGTACACAACGACGATTCGAACGTGGCATGCACCCACATGTTGCCTATGTGGTGGCACATGTGCATGCATGTGGCAGAGTTATGTGGCTATAATGGAAATGCGCACTTACTGCTATGCCTACTGAAGCCTGGTTTAAGGCGCTCTTCTTTACAAGCCACAAAACCGTAGTTGCAGAACTGTTTTGAGAAAGTTAATATGAAGAAACAACCGTTCATTTCATGAGATTAATATTTTTTCCGATCTCATACTAAAAGATATCAATCGCTATGATATTAAGGCATTCTTGGGCATTAGACTCATAGAAATCAATAAGTTATGCAATGTTCGTCTAGAGGTTAAGAACGGTGTCAGAAAAATTAGTCGGTGAAGCCTATTAATCCTATACAGCAAAGTAAAGTAATTTTTGTACTACTCTCTCTGAATCACACCAACAGGATTATTTAAAGGATAGTATCGAAGACAAGGTGGAAGAAAGCTGTTTTTTACAGCTGCTTTCGATATCAGTAAAATGACTTGATTAGCCTACTATTATCTATTTTCTTCTCGTAAAAGAAACATACAATGTTTCGTTTATGGCCGTTAAATTTTAGTAGAAAACCGCAAAAGTCCAGAAAAAGTGCTAAAAACCCAAAGTTCCTCACAGTTTTAAAGAGTTGAGAAGCGATGGCGAATCTTTTAGAAACCATTACCAGCCAAAAGAGGTTATCCAGTTCTCTTCTGATCTGATAATTAGACGGTCTTAGAAGTTATACTCCTATCTTGAGCGGAGTCAATAAAATCATGCACTGTAGTTTATTGACATGAATGTTACGATTGAAAGGATATATGTATATGAATGATATAGGTATCTTAAAAGCGCATACTCGAACAATGTGGTCAGTACAATGAAGTGCTAGTAATTTTTTACCATCAACTGGATACGCCTTCCTAATACTTGACTGGAAAACTATTCAAACTGCTTTCCGATGCGTATAACCCAATGTGGTGTGAATTAGAATTTTATGGTTCTTACAGCACAATTGTTGTTGAACGATGGAACAGCGGCCAATAAATAGGCAAAACTGTGAATTTCGGTAGGTGAAATGCGGAATAATGAAGTTGGAAACGGGTTCGTTGATCGGAAAAATCATACACTCGGACAAGAGGTATTAGGAAGTGTATTCCATATAAACTCCAATTCTTCTTTCTTGACTACTTAATTCTTTTCGGCAAAAACACTAGCATCAGCAGCATCTGGAGCAGAGGTAGCAGCAGAATTAACAAACTTACTGGAGTGCTTGATGACTAATAGCGGCCAAATGGCAAATGAAAAATTTCCAAAAATTAAAATTATCTTAACATCGACAATGTTATGAGACAAAAACAGATAACAGTTATCCAAAATATTTATTTACTTAATGATCAAAAAGTAAGATATAACAGAAGAAGTGTTTCACTGTAGCAAACATATTGATACTTGAAAGCTTTAAGCTTTAATCTAAAAAATATTGTATAAGACTATAGGTTTATGTCTAAGTCAAATATAAATGTACTATATATGGAACTGCGGAATACTGAAAATAGCTTTTAATATGTCCTTATTAATATTATTGTTGCATGACTTTTGATTTCGTTAACTAAACTTTGCAGCTGTGTATGTGTGTGCGCTATAGGCTTCAACTCTGTACTCGTACGACTTCAAGTCTATCTCAGTGTTGCACCATCGAATTAACATAAATTTACGTTTGACATGTGCAACATTTGTTGACAAATTGACTGCACTAACAAGACTACTTTAAGCATTTCCAACTCTGATTAGATAAACATTGAAAATGGTTTCCGAAATTTGTCCATTTATGCCGGTCTAATGGTGATAATTTCTCTCCACCACCGCATTCATATGCATATACATAGAAACGAAGTAAGGCAGCATACGTAGCTAACGGTTAGCGAGTTGCGAGCGCATTAGGTATTGGGCAGTTGAAGAATGGTCTATTAATTTATGGCTTGAGTTTGCAGCGAATGCGGCAGCCTTTGCTGTGATTGCGTGAACAGCCTTTTTAGTATTAAATTAATTCGATACTAAGTTGTACCATTAGTTTACCGTTTGGTTGGCTGGTGCGCCGATAGTCGTTATTGCTTTAAGTGAAAAATCCGTTACCTTAAGTGAGCAATTAAATGGAGCACAGATCAAAGGACAGCGACCGGTGTTGCTAAGCGTCAGTTCTGCGGTTCACAACGCAGCCATAAAGCGGTCACGTGTGTTGTATATGTTATGTGTTAGCAGCAGTCACAGGTGTATATGCGCTGTCTTATATGTGCATGTGTGTGCGCTTTAAGAAATTAGTTAAAATGTAAATAGTCTCACTAGTTTGCTGTGCTACTCTTCTTCGGTTGTGGAACTAGGCATCGCCTGCACAAATTTGTTCAATTGAATTTCTCTAAGAAAACCTTTTCTCGCTTTGGATTAATTATGAATTCGTTGCGTTTGTTTTATTAGTAGCCCAGTTAATTTTCATTATATTTTGCCGCGCTGGCTTAATCCATTTTGGTGGCTAGAAAAAATCTGTATACATTTGTGCGTGTGTTTGTCGCTCACAATCGTCTAGTTAAAAAAATATATGTAATCGAAGTAGAAATGAAAAAAAAAAACTTTCGCTTATATGAAAAAAACAAAAAAATTCAATTTAACTTCGACGCGAACCTAAAAGATCCCATAAAATTCGTTCAGTCTCATAAATTGGTAGCTTGGCATTGTTGTGTGAGGTTTCGCGTTTCACTTAACAACTTTGAATTAACATAATTAATAATTATTTGCATTTGCAGCAAAACACATATGAAATCTCATAAATAGTGTGATAAGCCGTTGCGGCTTTTCGGCTTTGGTTTTCATATTTTTTATGTTACATTTACATGTGTAAAGCCAGAAGAGTAGCACTTTTAAGCTTAATGAGGTATATATGGGCATTTTAACGAATAAAATAAATTATAGAATTATTTAGCGCAATTAGCACGGTAAGCTATTTGTCTGAAGCGGCAATAATTATGAGCGAACTACCCTTGGTTCCTTCATCACGATAATGGCCGCTCTCATACTGTATGTGTTCTTTGTACGCTTTCTGCTATATACTCGACTCATATCGTTCCGAAACATAAAAATTTCATTACACAACTAACATTTTACAAACTTCTCAGCCGACTTGTTAAATACTTTTTATATTTAGCTTCTTTGATGTTCTGCTGGTCCTTCACCAACATTTGTGGAACAGTTCAACTGTCTACTTAGGAAAAATTTGCGAATCTCCAAATGGAAGTCTGAATTGAGCAAAAAATCTCAATTTATTTTACTATCTATGTTAACATAGTCTTAATTATATCCATGCACTTTGCAATACTTCTAAGAACACTAAATTGTTATTGTGTTTGTATTATTGTATTGTATATATTAAAGTTGAATACACATTCGGTACTTGCTCGTCAATTGAATTTTTTTCCACCAACGCCACACCATCTATACAAATGTATCGAGTTAGCTGGTAGAATTCATTACCGTGAGTGTCTTTAGATATCGAAGAGTACTTAATGGAGCTCATGTGTTATAACTCAAGGTTTGAGAACGACTGTACTTTTATTGATAGTGTTATTGGCAACAAGATGGTTGCCACCTCGGGATGGGTGATCATTCCCAAGAATATGAAACTGAAGATCTTCGTTAAAAACCATAGTGATGGACTAACCTATATATACAGCAAGCTGCTTTTACTTTTGAACATTTTATCAAATGCTTGCTTCTCTCATGGGTTACATTCAGATCAGCTGTTCTCTTATATAAAGACCAAATACCTGTCTCAAAAGCTCTGATTATGTGAACTCTTATTGTTAGTAATACAAGTAATTTAATTTTTGTTTCTTACTAACTTTGCAACAATTAGAGTGAGTTGGATCGCCTTAAAGACATGCAGAAGCGCTAGGATCATGTGTAAGTCACCTTGTAAAAAAACACGCATGCTCTCTACTCACACGGTCTCGAAAGGACTGCAGGACAGTTGTTGGCTTAGTCTCAGCTCACAGCTTACTGGCATCATATGCGAGCCGCATTGACAGTAGTATCGACGATACAGCGGCGCTGGAACACCTCCTCTGCTTCTGTCAAGCCTTATATAGAACTCGCCTAAGATATCTAGAAACTTCGTAAATTAAAATGAAGTCTTTATTAAACTTCGCAGAAAACGTTGACTTCTTATACGACGTAAACTGCAGCTCGAATTAAACTGAACCTCAATCTGCAATTACTAAAAACCAGAAGAGCTATGTCTGCCGGAACAACTAGCCAGTATAACCTAATCTTACCTAACCTAACTTTGCAACGAATACTAAAAATTTTCTTTATATTAGAATAAATATTTAATACAAATATTGCTACTTTATTTATCCGAAATATTCTCAAATATGCGAGTTTCTAAATAAAAATATCTATTTTGATACTATATTGTACACCTCCCATCATACCACCCTACTAATTAACATTATAATGAGGCCATTGCACCGACCTTGCAACACGTGACCACCATATATAGTACGTCTATTTGTACAACCTACAAATGGCTTGTAAACAAATTTTAGCAAACAGCTGTTGGCAATGTTGTGATGAAAGTGCTAATAAAAACAAAAAACAATTGTGCCAACACAAATGTGTAGAGCGAGAGCGCGCAATAGCAAAGCGCATGCGCAAGTTCTCACCGTTGATGGAGACTTAATTCCAATGGAATGTCGTGCGTTGTCGTTTAAGAAAGGATTCTTCAAATTGATTTTATTCAGCAGATGCAGAATCAACGAATCCGCACCCATTTGTGAAAGCAAAAATTTTCATCTCAATTTTTAACATGTAAAATCATACAAAAATTAGTTAAAAGGTAAAGAAAAATCTTGCTTAAAAAAGTTGCTATAACCAATTACTATTATTTGCTGCAATTTATTGTGCATTTAATGTGAAAAGTGCTGCTCATTAACAAGGGCGTTTTTTATAAAATAGCAAATTAGATGTATTAAAGACAAGGCGGATGCTACTAGTGAAAACGGTTTAATCGGTAGATTTATAGCAGCTACAACTTGGCAAAACTATGGATCGGACAAGATATAGCAATTGGCTGAGTAGCTGCCTGGGACTGCTAGTGCTGCTGCTGGTTTGCACACAGCTGCAAAGAGGCAAGTGTGATAAGTGAAATTTCTGTATACACAAAAATGATATTCTATTTATTTATTTATTAAAATGCAGTGTAAAAATAACTGTATTACTTACATTGATATGTTATACTGTATTAATGCTTTAACAGCGTACGATAAGAACAAGTGTATGTATTATACTACTACTACATATCTACCTATATATACCTACTTATATATAACTATACGTATATTACAATTACCAAAGCTGCCTATTTAAACCTACTATATTTTTTTTAGCTTTATGTAACAGTATGGAGCGAATGATTTGATTTTTTTCTGATTTTATGCAAACAAAAGCTTTGACAAATATTTAAAATTTTTCACATAGGAAGTGATATTTTAAAATTTGCCAAAGTTTACATTGATAATCCCCCTTGAAAGTTACTAAGTTAGAATCCATTAGAGAAACACGCAGCGCAGCGCCTTCCAAAATTTTTTTGCGTATACTCAAATGTGCTGTAGGAAAACAGAGCGCGTTTGCCTTGTTTCTACCCTCTCCGCCCCAACTCCATTGCCATCACTTATACGAAGCGACTTTTTATTTGTATTCACTTTTGATTTGCTTACGAATTGCTTGCAAATCAATCAGCATCCTTCGCTTATAACATATGTATGTACATATTCTTGCATAGTTGAAGTAATTTTGCGATTAAAAATAAATTTAATAAAGAAAATTAACAAAAAAAAAAATAAAAAAAATAAATAAATAAATTTTAAAAAAAATTTAAATATATATTGTAATAAAAAAGTAATTGAATTAATTTAAATTTTTGCTGTAATACATTTTTCGTGCATTTAACTAGCATTTTCAGTAGCGCAAGGTTTTTGAAAGTAAAATTTAATGTTTTTTTTTTCAAAAATTATACGCTTAAAATATAACTTGAAATTTGCCATAACTGTTGCTGTACTACTTGCAACTAGTGTAAGTATTATGAAATACGAGTATATCTATATCATACATGTATGTACATATTTAAGTCTCATATTTATTTAAAACAACGCAAGCGAAAATCAAATTACTTTAATAATTAATAAAATTAAAAAATTTTCTGGGTGTGTTTGTCAACACTTTTTCAGTTGTGTTGAGCAGCAAAGACGCGGCAGCTATGAAATTAAGCTGCAAAAGGGGTAATTAGGACCATTTGAAAAACAAAAATTAAAAATAAACTAAACTCCTCAAGCTTCGGAAACACGCAATTTAGCTTAGTTACATACATAACTACGTATATGCTTACCTACAATCATCGTATGCTTGTAAACTAATGAAACCTTGTAAACAAATGCTTAAACAGTAACTGTTTCTTTCCCTCTACAGCCTACCGTACGCTGCAATTATTACTTAAAACATTTAATTTTTGCCAGCGTCTAACTGCTGGTGCACAAAGAAACAATAAATTAAATAAATATAAAGAAAACAACATTGTAAAGCGAATAAAATAAGTATATATATATATATAACAAGATTTCTGTATTAACTGCCGAATCTTAATTCATACTCCTTCTGAAGCCGAGCATTTTCAGAACCAACCAAGTAAAGCGAAATTGAAAAATAGTTATGAGAAAATAAGGTTACGAAAATGAAGCGTTAAATGCGAAAACTTGAAAGAGCACAAACTACACACACGCATTTCAAAAAAAAAAAAAAAAAAAAACCAACAACAACAAAAACAAAAACAAGCGTAAAACATCGCATAATATAATATAACTCTCATTGAAAGCAGCAAAATTACCCACATAACAACGACAAACCACTTTGCAGCACTTTCAAACTTCAATTAGTCCCGTAATGGTTTCACTTAACCTGTTTCGCAAACTCTAGCTACATACCTTGAAATTAAATTTGATTTTCCATTTGCTATAACATACATACACGTGTCTTTTTTTTTGTAATTGTGTACCACTCTCAACTCCTTTAACTCGCTGTCTCTCTCTCTCTTTGTATTTACAACGCACCCTCTAACCAATGAATCCTCGCAGGGCCCAAATAATGTTTTACAGTTTTTCGCTGAAAAAGCGCGCAACAAACAAACGTCTCTTCACAAAATACACCCCTATAAGTTCTCTCCAATCAACAACATTTGTTTACACTCTCCATATTTCCAAGCTATTTCTCGCTCACCATCACTTTGTGTTTCCTCTCCACAACTGAACTATGTATTTTTTGTTTAAACTTTCTCTTTTCCAATGCGTCTCCTTTATTTATATTTTTTTTGCAAAATTTTCTTTTGGCAACACCTTTCGTATATTTTCCTGCTTGTTGTGACCAAGTTCTATCAAAACCATCACATGCATGCAGATCAGTTGAACGAGAAAACAAAAACAAATGAATAAAAAATTAAAAAAAAAAAAAAAATAGAAATAAAAAAATTACAATTGCGTTCAAGCCATAGCATAATCTTAGGAACCGTTATTGTTTAATTACATACTGAGTCTTTTTCGTAAACATTACAGTGACTTAATCTGTTGCATGCATGTGCTTACTTGCAAGTACATCGTCATGCACACATACATACACATATACAGTTCCTCAAGCCAAAAAATCAACAAAACAATTGAGTTACTAAAGTAGAAATTAATATAGCTAGAAAAAAAGTTCCCAACCATAAAAAGTTGTAAAGTTTAACTTTGAGAAACGTGGCATATTATAGGGCGCTTAAGCTAATTATATTAGTTTGTTTTAGTTAACAGCAAAAATGTGAGCTGAGTTAAACAAATTGAGAGATCCGGAATATTCATCAAGCAATTCGATGTATAGCCGACAAAAGCCGAGCGCACCCAGCCATTTAACACTTTGTTTCAAAGTGAACCACATGTTTATTTGATCGTCACCTGATCGTATATCTTGACATGAATTTTTCGATATCTAAAATAGATAAAAGCCTGTTGCATGCGTAGTTCATGTCTACAAATATAGTTTTCAACTAATTGCCTTCAAATTAGTTGCTTTTGCCTGTGCCTTTTGTTTGGCACTTCTTTGAGTTTGAGCTCTACTCTTTGGTCAAAGATTATATGCGAGAGCATGAAAACTAAGTTATCGTTTAAATTCCAGACAGCAGAGTATAGGAGTATATCTTTAAATCTCTTTGTAATTAGGCCAATTCATCGCTTTTATACCAGTTTGCCTGTTCTATTCACCAAGTTCTAGCTAATTGATGTTCTAGCGTAACGCAGTTAGCAGTGTTATAAAATAGTTATATTAAACCACAAAATACACCGTTTACTACATGTGCTATAACGAAAGCTACACCAAGTTTAGACTCACAATCAAACACTCAATCATCATCTTAACACTTCCGTCATTAAAATTTCTAAGTTAGTTTCAACAGGCTAGTAAAAATAGTTCGTCGTCTTGATTGTTTATTGCATGCGATGCGTCACATTTTCAGCTACTCTCATCTATCTATCTCTAATTTGGTTCTTATACACACTCATATACATGCATACTCGTACATATGTTCCTTACTAACATTTGCAGCATCTATTTTCGTATCCACCCACCATCTATATCCAGCTATTAACTTTTCATATACTATTCGTTACATACTCCCATACAAAGTTATCTATCACAATCTTTATATTTCGCTCTATCTCTACATACTCTCGTACATGCATACATACATATGTATTTGTTTTAACTGTCTATCTAACTGTGGCATTGTGCATTTGACTTTTAACCAAATACTCTTTTTCTTTGCATCATACATTTGGTTTATATATAAAAAGAAAAAAAAAACTATTATTTACTCGTGTCTCTTAGTAAGTGCATCCGAAGATGAAGAACGCTTGGTACGTGATCTCTTTCGTGGGTATAACAAACTTATACGACCCGTTCAGAATATGACACAAAAAGTTGGAGTAAGATTTGGTTTGGCGTTCGTACAGCTAATCAATGTCGTAAGTGTGCATTACTACTACCTACTACTACTACCACTACTACTAGTTAGTACTGTTACTAGTACTGTTATAACCAATACTATCACTACAACTATTACTCCACCTTCAACTGCTCTAACTATACAAACACTATTACTTTCGTTTGTACCGTGACTTACTGCAGCCGTAATGGTTTCGTACCAGTACCGAAATACTTACATATACCGTACGGTACACTACGTAACACATACATACATAAATACTTTGCTAATAATTGTTTTGAAATCACTCAGCGTATATTGTATAACTCAGTTGATAAGTCATATGATTGCTCATTATTCATGGTATTTATTTTGTAATCATTATTTTACGTTAAATTATGTGTAAATACATTTTTCAGCAAATACCACGAACACACTCATGTGTAAACCAGAATATTTGTATTGTACATAAATATTTAATAATTTTGTAAAATGTAAATATTGTAGTTCATATAAGTCTTTTCATATTTATTTACCAGCTATACTTCATAAAACCATACATTTGCATAAGCATAGCGCCACATACATTTCAATTGTTTCAATCATTTTAATTTTAATTTATTTTAATACATGTTTTTTTCAATAACATAAAATGTCCTACATAAAATTTCACTCTATTGATAATGAACTCCTCCCCTTCATCGTTTATGTACGAAATCTGTTACTGAAACTGTTATGCACACATGTCTGTATAACCGAATTCAAACGCATATGCGAAATCGAAATTCTAAAACAAATATATATCTATATACATACATATCTACATATGTATATGACTATCGAAAACCTCAGAATGAGAAAAATCAAATTATGAAATCAAACGTTTGGTTACGTTTGGTTTGGTACGATTATCAATTGCAATGGGATGAGGCCGATTATGGTGGTATTGGTGTGCTGCGTTTGCCGCCCGATAAGGTTTGGAAACCGGACATTGTATTGTTCAATAAGTGAGTAGCAAATGTCAGCAAAATGTTTATTAAATAAGATGTGAAATTTTTTTAACTTATATATTATGTATTTTTATTTTTTATATAAAATACTAAAACATATTAAATCCAAAACATATATGTAAAGCTTGTTTTTGTAAGCGAGTGGCAAAAGAACGCGCAACTTAAAGAAACCCCGAAATCATTTAAGTAAACGAGTGTGTATGTTGCTTGTCGTAGGTTTTGCTATTTAAGCGACTGTTCTTTTGCAATCCGACTTAAGAAAAATTAGTAACAAAGTGCGTATGTTACCTGCCATATGTTCTGCTACTTAAGCGACCATTTTTTTGCCGACTTAAATTTATTCCAATAAATAAAAACATAAACGGTACTTGAAAATAAAGCTAAAGCGTTCGATTATCGATTGGCAAACTTTTGGGATTTAATGAAGTGTTCTTTTGCAACTGGCTTAGAAGAAAAAATTGTTGAATATATAATAAAATAATTTTGCTAGATGGGCAGGTTTTAGACTTATTATAAATAGTCATTATTGTTCACTAATCTCAATTCATTTCTCTTAAAACTCACCAATGCACGCACTAAAGTGCTGATGGCAATTACGAAGTGCGTTATAAATCCAACGTGCTCATTTATCCGACGGGCGAAGTGCTCTGGGTACCGCCGGCAATCTATCAGAGTTCATGCACCATAGATGTCACATATTTTCCATTCGATCAGCAGACGTGTATTATGAAATTTGGTTCGTGGACCTTTAACGGTGATCAGGTGTCACTGGCCTTGTACAACAATAAAAACTTTGTCGATCTCTCGGATTATTGGAAATCCGGTACATGGGACATTATCGAAGTGCCGGCCTATCTTAATGTCTACGAAGGCGATGGCAATCATCCAACCGAGACAGATATTACATTTTATATAATTATACGTCGCAAGACATTGTTCTACACAGTGAACTTGATATTGCCAACCGTGCTGATCTCATTCCTGTGCGTACTGGTGTTTTATCTGCCTGCCGAGGCTGGCGAGAAGGTAATATCCAACCATTGTTTAATTTGTAGTACACGGCAGTTAGCTTTTTATATGTAAACATTAAAACTAATGTGGAATGTATTAGATCATTGTATATACTTAACATATATATATATATATATATTTATTTGCTTTCTAAACACCTCAGGTTACATTGGGCATAAGTATTCTGCTGTCACTGGTTGTGTTCCTATTGCTCGTATCAAAGATTCTACCGCCGACTTCGTTGGTGCTGCCACTCATCGCCAAATATCTGTTGTTCACCTTCATTATGAATACGGTGTCAATTTTGGTTACCGTTATTATTATAAATTGGAACTTTCGCGGTCCGCGTACACATCGCATGCCCATGTGGATACGTACGGTCTTTCTGCATTATCTGCCCGCGTTTTTGCTCATGAAGCGTCCGCGTAAAACAAGATTGCGTTGGATGATGGAAATGCCGGGCATGAGCATGCCGGCACATCCACATCCCTCGTATGGATCGCCAGCTGAACTACCCAAGCACATAAGGTATGTATGCAATTTTCTCTATATCTTTCATGTTTTCATTATATTTCGCTTTGTATTTAGCGCAATCGGCGGCAAACAATCCAAAATGGAAGTAATGGAGCTCTCCGACTTACATCATCCCAATTGCAAAATCAATCGTAAAGTAAATAGCGGCGCCGATTTAGGCATTGGCGATCAATGTCGGCGTGAAAGTGAATCATCCGATTCGATATTGCTTTCGCCCGAGGCTAGTAAAGCCACCGAAGCAGTGGAGTTCATCGCAGAACATTTACGAAATGAAGATCTCTATATACAAGTAAGTGTTATATTGATAATATTTTTTCGGTTTTATTTTTTAAGGGGAAAAGCATTAACGACACTTCTTAAAGTTAAGAAGATAAAATGAGGCAAATCGCCAGAGAAACTTTTGGCATCATAAACAAACAGCTGCCAAACGCACACTAATTAAGTTATGAAGATCAAACCTCACACGTTTATAAAAAAAGATTGTACCTATCTATTCGTATCTTTTTGTCGATTCGGTTAAAGTGCGAAATTAATAAACGACCTGCTCAGATCAAGCTTGATCTTGAGTGCGTACATAAAGCACAACTTGTTATATTATAACACAAGGGTGACAAAATTATCGAACACATTGAAACAAACTAATTTTGTTGAACATTTTGCTTCTTTGTTGGCTCCTGAAGTTCGTTGGGCGTCAATCGGTTTTTTTTCTCATGTTATTCTCGATTCGAACCACTAACTGAAACTAGGTCCTAACCCAGTTGTACAATTTCTTCGCTTATGTATGTAACGGCTTAAACTCAAGACGACAGAAATAGGGTTTACGACAATTTGGTCCATTAATATTTTGCGAGTACATTTGACAAAAAAAATGCATTATACGGTGACATCATGAACAAAAGAAGCGAAGTGTTTAATTACAATTACCATCCGTTCCCATGATAGTCGGGTCTACGTTATCGAAACGGACCCAGATTTTTATCCGGCCAAGGACTGCCAACTCGGCAGAATTCTGTCGCTACCACAACAACAACATTGCAATCATTATGAAAATTTGACAATTTGTTTCACTTAAAGCATAACGTGGCTTCGCATTGTACCCTAGGTCACCCAAATGCTTAACCAAAATATCACTCAATCTTTACACTTTTTCTTACAGACTCGTGAGGACTGGAAATATGTGGCCATGGTCATTGATCGTCTTCAACTCTATATCTTCTTCATTGTGACCACTGCCGGTACAGTTGGCATACTAATGGATGCGCCACATATCTTTGAATATGTTGATCAAGACCGCATCATCGAAATATATCGTGGAAAATAAATCGATTATTTATATGATGGTAGCGTGACAACCATCACAACCGCTAATCTAATAAAAAGGCAAAATTTGGAATTCATTGATAGCAAAAAACACTCGGTGCGGGTTTTATCACTAATCCGTTGTTAGTGAAGAGATATTTTGCACAAGACAACACACTCCAGCACATAACGGCAATAAAATTTTAAGCGATTATTCATGTAACACATACACAAATACATGATGCTTGTTACATATGGGGTATGTGTTCTAGAAATGGTCTTCAAATTAATTCTTCGGTTTTAAGAAATCTATTATTTTAAGAGTTTTTAATTAATTAGAATTTATAAGTAATATAAACTTATTGTAAGTGCAATGATTCATAAGGAAATTGTTAAGTTAAGCGTTTTAAGTATTTATGTATTTATAGTGTGCTTGAAATATAAAACTTGACTTTAGATATAAGGCGAATTGAAACTAATTACGGCAGTGAAAATATCTAGAAAATCCGCGCATATTAGTGAAATTACTTAAAAAATAATAATTAGTAGCAATTAATAAAGAGAAATGCTTCAGCTCATAAAGTTAAACAGCAGCGTAAATTTCGCGTGCAGTTTACGAAACGAAATTCGTACTATTAAATTGAATAAACTCCTTTTGTTATTGAACAAAATCATAAACGTATGAATAAACATGACTTTAGTTTCAAAAATTGCTAAAATTCTTTAATTTTAAATATTCTAGTAGAAAACTATTTCTTTTTCCAGGCACGGAATTGTGGTTAGTTTGGCATTCATACAAATTGACTTAATGCTAGAGTATTTAATTCTAAAACTAACATTTTATTTACATTTTAAGCAGTAATTTGGTTTTTCAGCGTTTTAAAAAGGTAAATGTGGTCCGTAATGTCTAAGCTCAAACTTAGAAAAATTACAAAAAGCATTATTAACTTTACTAACGTTGCAGTTACTTTCACTTATAAAATTTTTGACATGAGAGCAGCGCTTAAAGATTGCACACAGACGAAGACGAATGATCTTAAAATAATTAAATCAACTACTAGAGACTTTAAGCAATATATGCTATTGCAAAAAATTACAACTATTTATACAAATTTTAAAAATGAAGAAAGTTTACTTAAACGCAAAGTTGTTAAGAATTTTTATTTCAATTTTCAACCAATGGTGATTGTTAGGATTTATGTGGATATAAGTAACTATATTGGCATTGCGTAAATGTGTGGAAAAGAAAACTTTAACAAGCAAAAGTGTTCAATTTTCTTTCTAAATCGTAAAAAGCGTACTTTTTAAGAGTTGTGGAGGCCCAACATAACAAAAAAAAAATTACTTTATTTTTAATTTTACTTGTGAATACAAATAATATGGTGACTCTTTCCGTGGCACCAAAAAATAGAAAGGTATCTATAATATATATATGGAAATATATAATGTATGTGGAATACAACTTAAGTTGTGACTATTTAACATACATTTAACAAGATTAAACAAGCTGGGCCCTACTGGCCTGAGAGATATATATAAAGACCCTATAAAATATATACATATTTATGATCAGCGTAAAGAGCTGAGTTGATTGTTCGTCTGTATATATGCGAACTAGTCACACTGTTTTTGAGCTATCACTCTGAAATTCGGTACAAGTGCTTTTCTCCCCCAGAAGCTACTCATTTGTCGGAGTCGCCGATATCAGACTACTATATTATATAGCTGTCATACAAACTGAACGTTTAAAATGCAGTTTTGTTTAGACTTTTTTATTTGACCAGATATCTGCACTAAACTTAGCACGGACTATCGCCTGAAGCAACGCTTACAATATACAAAATTCCCTGTATCAAATAGCATATAGCTGTCATATGTCATGTAAACTGACTGATCAAAATCAAGATCTTGTATGGAAACTTCGTTATTTGTGAGAGGTTTTCTGCCTTTGCTGCAATCAATTTGTTGAAAATAATATATTTGCTTGTATTCGAAAATAAAGGCATTCCCGCACTTAGTTACTTAATAACACAATTTCCAAAAATTTTTAATCAATTCTGTGCTTGATTTGGCTTACGCGTATTTCCGAATATACTGTAAGGTCGTATAATTAAATTAATGTACATATATGTAGAACAAAAAATACTCATTCAGCTAATTGGAAACCAAGTAAAAGGAACACAAAACTATTAATATTTATTTGCCTGCTGTCGCACCGTAACCAATTTGAAGCTCAAGCGCACAACAAAATGAAGTGAACTTTTAATTTATGCACAGCATTTGGCGGCATTGTCTGCGCGAGAACTAGCTCCAACTAGCTGGCTGACTGACTAACTGCCTGTCTGAGGGCTAAGGAAATTATGTGGCAAGTTGGCGGTCACGGGCCAAAGAGGCAATGACGACGTCAACGCACTGGCACATCGCACAACATTGGCCACGGCAGCGACAATTGCATAGCCATTCACAACAGTGGTGCTATTTTGCAGCAACAACAATAGCGACACACTTTAAAACATAAAATCGTGATTTACCTTTTCGTATTCGATATTTTTTCCAACAATTTATAAATGTATGTCTATACTATTTTTATGCAGCATTTTAATTTTATGCTTTTATTTGCTTTTTATTTATTTTTTAGTTTTCAGTTTTTTGTTTTTGTTTTTGTTTTAATTTTTGTTTTTCACCCGTTAATTCATTTTATTCTCCTCTGTTTAGTGTCAAGCTCGGCGAGTTGACACTCTGACACCAACTAGGTGGCGACGACGACTATTGGGCGGCTCATGTCGACATGCTAGGCCGTGCGCCAGCATCATAAATTGCTCCGAGCCGTGTTTGAAGCAGATCGTGCGCCACACTTTACACCAGCCATAGCTGAGCCGTCGAGTAGAATTCGAACATAAGCTGTTTGTAGTCTGCGAGAGCGGCTGGGCCAGAACGGGTTCGCGACAAGCAGCACCTACAAAAACAACGTGCGCATGTTGTCATAAACACACATACATACATGCAAGCGCATACACACTTTTGCAATATTATTCTATGTATTTCTTTTATTGTTTTATGCTGTCGCGCAGGCGCAGATAAAACGCAAAATATGAAATTCAGTCAGTCAGCGCAGTCAGTCGTTCATTCATAAATTTTTGCATTAGCAACAACATTACTGCGCTAACGCTTTATGCTCGTTCGCCATTCAACACTCGGCGCTGCGCACCTAATTGCAAATCATATGAATGAATTTCGTATTCAAATTGATGGTTTGTTTTTGTAATTCAATTCAATCAGCAGCCAATTGAACTTTTGAGACTATGCTTCCACCTATGGCTGTGTGAATGTGTGTGTGTGTGTGTATATATATATGTATATATGGCTCATAACTTGGCCATTAGCGTGTCGCGCATTCACTCAAGCGCGCGTAGTTGAACTGTAAATCTTACGACAGCATTTTATTAATGATCATTTTTTGCTAATTTGATTTTTTTGACTTTTGTTTTGAACGCGGTTTTGAAATGCTGTCATTCTAGTTCGTGGTTGTGACTGTACAACATCCGGTGCGCGTCAGCGTTGAGTCTGAAACTATAAGTTTTTGTTCTTTTCATTTAGATTTTATTGTAATTTATAGTTTTTGTTGATTTTTCTTAGACTTGCTTTCAATTTATCAAGTTCAACGGCAAACCCAGCCACACAAATTTACGCCGACTTGTTTTATATTACATACATTTCTTTCGACAAAAAGTCATAAAAAGCCTAAGCATTGCGCCTGGCAATCGTTAACATTTGTCTTCTTAAAATGTTTTTCATTACTTCACTCACCATGTCTTTACTATCATTTAGAGAGTATTGAGTTACAAAACAATTTGTTTCTATGCCAGCATTGTAAAGCACAAATGTGTGAATCTGAGAGTGTCAAGAGTAGCCACCCTTTTTATATAGAATTTGAAAAATATATATGTAAACATGCACAACCAATTATGGTATATTCATGGTATAATATATAAGTAGACATACTTAGGTGTTGTCGACGTAAATAACTAGCATAATGCTAGTAATTATATTTAATACTAATTCAAAATGATTATGTTTTCTATTAAGAAGGCTAACTTTTTATGAAAATGCATAAATTCGGTTTAATTTTTCATGTCTCAAACTCACAAAGCAATTGAAGTATGGAAAAGACGACCCAGAATGCAAAGAATTTGCCTCAAAGAGGTCACAGTGCTTCTATGATATGTAGCAAGGTAAAATAACTAGAATCTATCTCTCCAGCAAATAAAATTAGTTTTAATTAATAAAATATTTATTTTAACGTTCTTAGTGGCACATGTATAAAATATATTAATAAATCCGTGGGTATTTACTGAGCGAAATCTCCTCACGGGCACTAAATTATCAACACTTGCTAGTTATGCCCTAAAGAGGGTATATTAAGGCTCGTCTGTCTGTTTGTATTTATGCGAACTAGTCTCTCAGTTTTTGAGATATCGATCTGATTTCACACACGTTCTTGCCTCTCCAAGAAGCTGCTTATTTGTTGAAACGGCCGATATCGCACCACTATCGCATATTGCTGTCATACCAACTAAAATATCGGAATCAATTGCTTGTATGTAAAACTTTTTCGTTTGACGAAATATCTTTATCAAATTTAGCGTGGGTTATTGTCTAAGGCAATAATGATACTTCCAAAGAAATTGTTCAAATCTAGTCACTATAGCATATAGCTGTCATACAAATTGACCGATCAAAGTTCTTGTAAGGAATTTTTGTATATGTGTAGCGTATTATAGCTTCGAAGCAGCCGAAGTAAACGTTTTTCCTTATTTTTTTTTTCCAAAAGTCTGCTGCTTAAAATAAGATTTGTTCAAAAATTACCGCAGTTTTAGTTCAAATACTTTAGTAACTAGATTTCACTTTTCAGGACTAGATTTCAGCATCACCTACAACAGCCATCCTCAACTACATTTTTTCCTCAATTTAATTAAAATAATTTATTATTTCTTATTTTTTGCATAACTACAATATTTCTAAATTCTTTAGTTTACTTTCGGAGTAATTCTTTAAATCGAAAGACTTATGAAACGAACTCGATGTAGGTGGTTTTTACAGGGAAGATGTTCTGATACTCGTAATTTTTAGTTATAAATGTAGGATATGAAGGATATATGTCACTACAACACTTTAATTTTCATTTTCATAAAACATTCTCAGGAACAATTCTCATTCTCTCAATTATATGAAAGTCTGCGTGGACTCTTACTAAAAATCAACTTGCTGTACTAGAAATTTTCATTAATACATTTTCGATATGCACAAATTTCTCATGGTGCATTAAATTACTAATCGAAACTGAATATTTAAACAATATTTTTTTCGGGAAGATTTAAGGTTATTTACGCACGCTTCTTGTAAAGCAGCATATAGTGGCGTGTGGCATGAAACGGCTTTAGCTGGTGGCGACATTTTTATACAAATCCAATATTAATTTCATGGTTGCTCATTAACTTTGATGGAAAAATTAAAATGCTAATTGAATATAGACGCAAAAGAATTCTGAAAATTTTCAACACAATTTCATTTTTTTTTTTGATTACCGTAACCTTTGTGGAAGAAAGAGTAAGTCGTAGACTTTCATCTAAGCCGTTTGCGCACAAGAATATCCAACATGGCATTGATAATTTCGGCTTATGAGCGCACTCCAAGCCGCTCAAATGATTTTCGC